CCCCGCCCACAAGGCGGAGCGGCCCTCCTTGGACTCCATCTCCCAGGATTCCGTTCGCGCGGACACGCGGGGAGGGGGGAAGGTTTGCCTCGGTGGAAAGCGGGGGGAGCGCCTTTAAAAGTAACTTTTTTCTCCCAAGTTACCGGGCGGGGCAAATGCATTTTAATTTTTCCATGGTGTGCACCAGAAAAAAAGTAACTTATTTTCCAAGCTGCCTGGCAGGGGAAATGCATTTTATTGTTTCCTATAGATTCCTTTTGCTGATACATTCAGATACAGTATATTGCATATACTATTTCCAAGCGAAGGGCACCGTCCTTCTGCCTGCTTTCCGAGACCCAATAAGGTGGAACAGTAAATAAGCGTGCTAGAGGAAACCCAAAGGAATATATATGTTTTTTTTGCAGGAGAGCTGCAGTCACCAGCTGCCTAAATCCATTTGCAAGGTATGCCTGTGTTGGGAGAAATAATAGACGCTCTAGAGTTTTTTTTTTAAAAAATTGCATCTTTTCAAATACTTGGAAAGGAAGTCATGCAAAGGAGGGGGCAGGATCTGTCCTCCATCATCCGAGAGTGCAGGACAGACAACAATGGGCTCAAGCCAGATTTAGGCTGAAAGATAAAACTTCTCAACTGTTAGAGCCGTACGACGGTGGATCTGCTTTGACTGGGATTCCTGCCTTGAGCAGGGGATGGGACTGGACGGCCTTTGAGGCCCCTTCCGACTCCCTCATTCTATAATAATAACGAGATATTTAAGTAAATAAGTAAGGTTTTACCCGTTCCACTCTTCCATGTGTTTTCATGGCCAAGTAGGAATTCGAACTCAGGACTCCCAAGTCCCGGGAGTCCAACTCTTTATTCATGATTACACCACACTGAGTATCTCAGATGACTCACATGGAATAAAACAGAATAATGGCTCCTTGGGCTTTGGAGACTTTTAACTGATGCTTTAAAATGCACACGGTGGCCAGTCCTCCCCTGAGACAGTTTTCCAAAAAAACAGTTTTCAAGGCCTTTGATATTTAAATAGGATCCATTAAGTTGTCCTTGAATAATCAGGCAACGGGAGGGGGGGGGAATGATCATTTTTCTATGCAAGTACTGTACTTAATGTTGCAGGTGTCATTATAGAAAATTGTATTCTTTCTGTTTCCAAAGCATCCGCTCCTCCAAAGCAGACGCAACATTTTAGAGAAACGTGTATTCTCCAGCGAGGCCTCCCATAAATAAATAAATAAAAAAAGAAACATACTTGTTAAAAATAGGAAGTGTGTCATTTTCTTTGATGAAATTACAAAGTGTTGCTAGTGTTAAATAACAAGGAAGTTGTTTTAATTCCTTTTGTAAATAAACAATAGGGGACTTCTTCCCGAAATATGGTGGAAAACACTTTCTTTCTTTCTTTCTTTCTTTCTTTCTTTCTTTCTTTCTTTCTTTCTTTCTTTCTTTCTTTCTTTCTTTCTTTCTTTCTTTCTTTCTTTCTTTCTTTCTTTCCCTCCCTCCCTCCCTCCCTCTCTCCCTTCCCCCCTCTCTTTTAAAGCTATCCTAGTACTTGGGCAGTTTGGTGACCAAAGGAAGAGAAAAACAGAAGTAACAGAGTTCCTTCCCTCCCTCCCTCCCTCCCTCCTTCCTTCCTTCCTTCCTTCCTTCTTCAGTTTTAATCCAAAGAATTCAGTATTTGGGGGAGGCTGTTTTTATTCTGATCTCAGTTCATAAGGCACTTTTTAATTCACTGGAGAGAATTCAGATTAAACACCTCAAAATCAAGAAATAGGAGGGGAAAAAGGGGGAGAACTTGTGTTTATATATTATCAAGGCCCTTGTTTTCAGTGGGCGCTCAGAACGGCTGCAAGTTATCAGCCTGAAAAAGATGGATTACAGGAAAATTAAATGCAGAGTTTAACGGAGAAATAATCATTTTCTATGAAAGCTAATGACTTCTCTGGAGGCTAGTACCAAGATTTATTGACCCGAGAGGTTAATATTGATCAAAGCCACAGCAAAGAAAATATTAGACCTTGAAGGAAGAATAATCTTGATACTGAAGTCTAGCCACTGACAGAGGAGGGCCATATATCTGGCTGTCAACTTTTGAGAATGCCGCGCACATAATGGCAGAGGGTTTTTAATACGTCTGGCATGCTTTGTGTGTGCCATTTTTACTCCCCGTCTGCACCGTTTAACAGCTAGGTCTTGCTCTGGTTCAGCCTAGCTTCATGGTTAATCGATTCTTTAAAAAAACATACCTCTGGTTAATAAATGTGGGATAAGGTGCTCCTGTAGCCACAATCTGAAAAGATGGGAGCTGGACCGATATTGCTGCACAATATTATGCCTGTGTTGCCAGCAGGAAAAAGGAAGCCAAGCTTTACATAGCCAAAGGGCAGCCTGCATGTTGATAACACCCATGGCAGTAATCAAGATGGTCTACAGGATCCCCTCTTGTGCTCACTGCCATTCACAAAATGACACCATGCAAGGAGAAACCCCAGAAGCTCATTCCTTTTTTTTTCATTAGTTAACCACTTCTCAAGAAACGCCAGAAGCTCATTCCTTTTTTTTTTTAATTAGTTAACCATGTCTCCACCAAACACAAACCAATTGTCCGGGATGTTTCTCATTTCTCATCCTATCGATCGGAAATGCCCCTTGTTCTTCTTACACACAACCCTGAAAGTCTCTCATTCCCAAATCTCCCATGAATTTTGATAGCCTTGTGTAAGGACCGCGATCTTGGAAGATAGTTGCTTTCTGAATGGTCATGAGTCAAGAGGTTGCCGTGTAGACCTTCTTGGCGGCCGCCGTTGGTGCTGCCAACCTTTGGGAGGGCGATGAGTGCTCCGATGCTGGGAGCATTCAAGAGAAAATGGGACCCCCCTCCCTCTGTCCAGTCTGCTTTGATTTGGATTGCTGCCTTGTTGGACTTGATGGCCTTCAAGGACCTTTCCAACTCCTGGATTCTAGGACGGGAGTTTTTCCGATGACAACGCGTCGTTTGTTTCTCCGGACGTATCTTCCTCCGAGGCATATTGACACTCTCCCATTTCAGGAAACGCCAGTTCTTCGGGCGGCGATGGAAAGTCTTGAAAGCTGTGGCTAGAATCACGATCGTTTCCACTCAGGTCTTTGGGTGGGGGAGGAAGATCCTCAATCGGAAAGGAGACGTCCTTTTCCGTAGACCACGGCAGATCCGTACTCCCATAGGACAAAACTTCGTCAATGGGAGACACAATCTCATCCTCGCTAGGAAGTACGGTGGCGTCTTCGCTTCTCGGAAGGCACCTTTGGGCAGGGCGTAACAGCCCAGCTTTAGATGATCTTGGATGAAGTGTCGCCATTCCCAATTCCGTGGAGTTTTGACTATTTACTAAGGAACTATTTTCTCTTTCTTTAGTTATTCTTCCTATGCTTTTAGAGTGTTGCAAACGACTAGAGCCTTCCTCCTCCGTAGAGATTTTTGGACACTGGACAGTGGCTTTGTCTCCTCTGCTGGATTGAGATTCATTAGCTGCATATTCGTTAGAACCAGCTCTGCCCTCTGAGCCTGACAAGGGTGCAGTGTTACTGACGGACTCCACCGTCTTCAGCAAGGTTTCAGAGAAATGTGTCATGGGCTCGTCTTCAAAATGAGATGGGTTTTCTCCGTTCCAAGTCCCTTCCGCTGGGCCCACACCAGCGCCAGCTCCCTTCCATCTTGGCTCTTCTTCGGAGCAGTGACAAGATACATCAGCGGCTCCTTGAAAAGCCAGCGTCTTCGCCCCACGCCTCTCCGTGCAAGATTCTGGATCAGAACCACTCAAAGAGCTGGCCTTCCTTCCAGAAGCAGACATGGAGGCCTGCACAGAATGGGACCCTCTTGTCCAGACGGAGCCGAGTTTTGGCCTTCCGTTGGCTGACGGTATCACGGATCGGCCTTCGTAGATTCTTTCCCCATCCGGGAGGTCTTCCATCATCTTTTCCTGCTTGCATGGAACTGACAAGCGACCCTGTTTCGAATCACCGCACAAGACAGCCGTGTGACGTCTGCTGTCAGGTGACACTGCGTTCCTTGGGTTTGATGGTATCTGTGACATGGCCGGAGTGTCACAAAATGTGCCATTGGAATTATAAGGGGGATCTTCCTGGAAGACAAATTCTTCCGGAAGGCTAACGTCTGTGTCTTGGCCGTCCTCAGCTTCAACATCAGAAGCCGAAAACGAGCTTCCGGAGATACTGATGAGAACGGCATGAGCTTTATGGAATTCCAAATCCAGCTGGGGTTTCTCTGTGTACGGAGAGAAGCTGCGCCGTTCATCCCTAGGCATGGCTGAGGTCCAATGTCCAGCTTCCTTGTCTGTAGGATGCCAGCTCTCTTGCATGGATAACTTTCTCAAACTGGTATCCTGCCCGTTACGGTCTTCCTCTTGTTTGCTCACTAAAGGAACAAGAAAGAGAAAACATTTAGATAGTTTGCTCTTTGGTCTTTCCTCCTTGATGATTTTAGAATCCGCAGCAGCTTCTCTGAAGCTCCTGTTTGGTTAAGGATGAGAAAATCCAGCAGGAAGAAAGAAAACCTTTTAAAAAAAGTTTTGATTTGCAAAAACAGGAGTCTCGGAAAAGGGAAACGATTGCCGTTCGGGGCAAACACAAGATTTTAGGCTGAGATTTATTTATTTA